CAGCTCAGTGGTTTCTGTGTTTCCTCTGACAGCTCACCAACCTTTAACTTTCATGGTCACACTAGCCCTGTGACACAGGAGCAGGAGTGGCATCCCTCTTTGCTGGACAGGCCAGCTGAGTGTGAGCCATCTGAGAGCACTGGGATGTGTGACCCAGGGTGCAGCTGGCTTGATCCCACCCTGTCCCTTCCCAGAGCACCATGCTGAATGCAATTCCATAAGCTCCCTTGGACATCCTCCTTCCCCAGTCACCTGTCCAGCAGCTCCCAGTCTTCCCCACCCCAGCGGTCCCGGAACTCCTTGGTGTTCATGCCCCCGATCTTGTCCAGGTCTGACTTATAGATGCCGAGTAGTCCAAACCCATTCACCTCCCAGTAGCCTGTGGAAGCCAAGAAGCTGCAATGAGTCAAGCTGGGGCCAGGAAGAGGATTGCAGGGCCCTCTAGCTGTGCACTAGAGGCTCTTCTGAGGGAACTGGGGGTGGGGGAGCAGAGCCTGAAAGCTGGCTTAGCTGAGCAAACCCCTTGCCTGTTAGGGGAAGGTCCCTGAAGTTCTGCGTCAGCAAATGGAGCAGTGACCCTGGGCTGATGACTGCCCTACAGTTACATGTGACAGGCAGGCCCTGTCCACTTCCCGCTGTATAGGCAGGGAGCCTCTGGCCTCTCGCCTGCATAGCCTCCAAGGGCAAAGCATCTGGTACGTGGCAGATGCTTCCTCGGTGTCTGACGGGCAAGTGAGGGGAAGAGGGGCAGGAAACGTTCACTGCTGCAGGTGCTTCTCTGGTGGACTGTCCACTGGGGTGGGCGGGAAAGGGTGCTGACATTCACCAGTGTGCCTGCTTCTAGCTGAGGTCAGGAACCATGGGGGGAGAGGCCTTCTCTCCCGCCCACTGCAGGCCAGGGCTCACCCTCCGGCCACCAGGGGGTGGCTCCGCAGTGCAGCCTCATCACCATGGGGGCAAAGGCCATCTTGCCCTCCACACAATGCTTCCGGATGGTATCGATGACTCCGGCTGGGAAGTAGATGTGGAGGTCACAGAGGAAGATGATGCTGTGAGGGTCCTGGGGGCAAAACGGCAGGGTCACCAGACCCTCAGGACTCCCAGGAGAACCCTCAGACTCTTCCTAATTGGTAAATGTGCTGCCGAGGCGAGCATGGCTCTTCCTCATTGGAACGGCCGACAAATCCACACAAACCTGCCCGATGGGGAGACGTCCAGAGTACGGAGCTCAGAGCAGTGTTCTTAACAGCAGACTATGAACCCTGCTCCTCTCCCCACTCTTTATGGGCCCTGAGGACCCTGGACAGTTGAGCAAATGCTCCGCTGTCGTTTGCTTAGTCCCACTCTGCCACAGTTCCTCAGCATAGCAGAGATGGGGCTCCCTACTGTGGTCTGGACCAGTGCTCCCCAAAGGGCCATGTGTCCAAGGCTTGGTCCCCAGCCTGTGCGCTAGTAGCAGGTGGTGGCCCCTTTGGGAGGCGAGGCCTATGGATGAAGTAGGTCATTGAAGATGGGGTCTTGGAGGGGATATGAGGGTATGAGGGCTCTTCCTGTCTCTCTCTTTTGCTTCCCTGCCAGCACGAAGTGAGCAGCTTCCTCTCCCACTATGATGTGCTGCATTGCCACAGGCCCAAAGGCAATGTGGCCAACCCACTGTGGGCTGAAACCTCTGAAACCTCTGAAACCTTGCTATAAAGATGATTCTCTCAGGTATCTGTACAGTAAGGGAAAGCTGACTACCACTCCCAGGTCGCTATTTCCCTCCCCACTGAGGGGCTGGCTACCTTACACATCACAAAGTTCTCTCTGCCTCTTAACCCAGTTTCCCAATCCCTTTCCAGGCCAATTACCTTCACCAGGTCGATGCCAGCCTGAAGTCCGGCTGAGCGCTCAAAGTTACCACTGAGCTTCAAGTACTGGTAGCTACAGAGAAGAGAAAGGAAGGCTGAGTGTTAGGAGTCAGCTGCTGGGGTCCTCCGGAATAGAGATGATAAATGCACCTGGGTGAGGTTATGGGCAGGGGAGTCCTGGGAAAGAGCTGAAGACTAGGATCCAGGAAAGCCGGGTGGGGGAGCTCAACCCTGGACCCGGCAGCCCTAGGCCTTCAGGAAGGAGGCGCCCAGGCTACGCCCTGGCTGTGGAGGGCAGGGTGTGTCCTCACCTCTGTAGCTTGGACCTCTTCAGGGCCATCTTCACATCCATGTCCTCACTGCTGTAGTCAGTGATGATGATGTTGAAATGTGGGTCGCCAGTGACTTGGAACAGGTTTTCCATGTCTCTGATGAACTGCTGCACCCAGCGCGCCTGGTTCTTCACTACCGCAGGGTGCCAGGCAGAAAGAAACAGAGATAAGGAAAGATGAGCATCTCTGCTCTCAGCTCCATCACGAGTCAGGAATCCCCACCAGACCCCTGCTGTGAGGATAACACAACTTCCGGGAAGCTGTGAGCAATGGACCAGAGACCGGAAGGAGAAGAGCAGCTCACCATGATGGGGCCTCTGCCAAGGCCTTGGGCTGGGGTCACAGCAATCCCACCAGGCTCTGACAATCAATCTCACTATCACTATTTCCCGTCCTACTCCTGCTCCACTCCGGCCTGCCTTTCCTTCTCATCATCAAAACCACTTAGGGATGTGGTTCAGTAGCAGAACACTTGCCAAGCAAGTATAAGGCCTTGGGTTCAAACCCCAGCAGCAAAGAGAAAAAAGAAAACCAGCCTATATAGTATTCTTTGTGTTCTATTTCCTCAACAACCATCCCAGGTGATGATCACACCCAACCTAGAGACCTAGACTCAATGAAAGAGCTCCAGCCCTCCAGTCACTATCTATTAGCTCTGCCCTTCTTTCTCTTTGCTGAGCTTCAGCTCCTCTCTTGTGGAAGATGGAATCAGGAAAACAGACCAGGTGCCTAGGTGCTGTGGTTACTGCTCCGCAGAAGCTCACCAGGCACAATGAAGTGGACCACAGCCCGGTGATTCCAGGAGAAGCCCTGGGGCCAACACAGTTTGGGCTCAGGATCCTGGACATCCAGGACATGCCTCCGCCGCCGGTGGTGTGGGTTCCAGAACAGGCCCTGCAGGTTCCGGGCCTCGGCCTCTTCTGCACCAGCCGCATCGACGCCCTGCCAGCCTCGTGTGGACACGTACTCAGACAGCCTCACCAAGCGCTGGCCTTGTTCTAGCAGCTCAAGTTCCAAGAGGTAGCGACCCCCACGTAGCTGGTCCTGCCGCTTCTCCACATTTACAATGCGCTGCAGCTGGTACCTCCTGTGGCGCAAAGAGTGGGGCTGGAGTAATGTCTCCCTCAATGCCAGGGCAGCCAGTGTGCTGGGAGCCCACAAGCCCCTTGTCCCGAGACCCTCGTCTATGGCTTAGCTTTGCCATTGGCTAGGGGTAGGGACTCAGGCTAATGCTCAACCTCTACGTCTCATAGCCTCCATCTTCCGAAATGCACTACTGAGCTGTGACCATCTCCATGAGCTTTTTTTTTTTTTAATTTTTGGTACAGGGATTGAACTCAGTACCTTGCACGTGAGAGGCAGGCAGTGAGCTAAATCCCCAGCCCTCCTTGAGCTTTTGCAGCACTAAGATCCTAAGTTGACAAAGCAAATAAGAGAGGTCACTCAAAGGGAAAAAATGAGAACCGAGACCTGTCATGTAAAGGTACAAGATCCCAGTAATGAGTGGAACTGTACTGTATACCTAGAATGTACCAATAAATTCAATTAAATAAAAGTGTAGGAAAATGCTAAGGTTACAATACTCAGTATTCAAAGTCTATAAATTGTCTCAGCTATATCATAAAAGATGATCCAGAAATAGGCACGACAGTAAAAGTGTCTGTTTTTGAGAGTAGCACCCTGACTGATTTTTTAATCTTTCAATTTTACATAAAACTGCTGTCGCATCACCGGAAAATGTATACCTTTACATTTAACTATACTTTTGTAAAGTCTATAAAAATCACTAATATGTAAAAAGGGGGGGCAGACTTAAAAGGAAATATCGAGATGCTTCAATCTGCATTTCTGTATTTCTAAAACTGAATTGCTTGCTTCTATCAAAAGAAATATACCTTATTTAAAAATTGCAGTATCCGCTCATTCTTACTCAACCTTAAATCTCAGTTAATTTGCATCCTCATTTTCTTAAAACTCCTGAAGCTTTGATCTCTCCTAGATTAAATTTAATAGTAGGTACTTTAGATTTTTCAAGTCAATCTTGATGGTCATACAGATATTTGGCATTTTTTATAGCTGCCATCAAACAAACAGGGTTCAGTGACCATCTATGTAGGAGATATTTACCTGCGATGTTCACTGTCTAGGAGTTCAGGTCATGCTGAAAAGTGCACGTCTGAAAGGGTGCAATTTAGTGCTGGGGGCGTAGCTCAGTGGGCACACGCGAGGCCCTATTGTCAGTACTCAGCACACAAAGTGATACCACTTAATCCAGGCATGGTGGCCCATGGGAGGATCATGTGAGTCCTGACACTTGCCAGCCTCAGTGGATGGCACATAAGGACATAAATCACATAAAGTAGGCAGCATTTATATCGGAGCCCTAAAACAACCGAATCAGTTCTCTACACAGGCACACTGAGGAGAGCTCAATTGTGCATGTACTGCAGAATACATAAGTGGGTGGGTAGCGCCCTATCCCAGGAACGTCTGTCACCTTCCCTCCACCCTCAGAGGCCAGATCCACAGCTACTTGCCCCAGGTACCGTGCAGAAGGGGACATGGAGAAAGTGTAGTGGTGTGGTCTATGGGCCCAGGCATCAGGGTGTGGGTAGCAGGAGTGTGGACAAGCACAGCCAGGACTGCTGTCTGCCCTGGTGCCTCAGGAAAGATCTGAGCTGGTAAGCACTTGTCAGCTTTGACTGTTCAGCTTGGCAATGTCATTCTCATTTTTTCCTCAAGGAAAGATATCTTTTTTTCCATTCCCTGTGACACAACAGCCCTTTAGGCTCTAGGTTTTAAGCACAGCAGAACTTACTGTTAGTAGTAAAGATGACTTCTCCCTCCTGGGGCGTGGGGTCTGTGTCCTGGACCACCTGCAAGGCTCCCACAGTCCGGACAGCAGGGTCCAAAGTGACTGAGCTCTCGTTTACCGTCGTGTCACTTGCGCCTGTGATCTGGTTGGTTGGGGGACCTCCCAGGGAGCCCTCAAAGTCCGTGGGCAGGTCGTCCATGCAGTCAGCATTGGGCTGTTGGTGGGGGGCAGAAAAAGATCTCTCATTAGAGCATGTCATCAGTTTAAAGATGAAATGTGTACAGCTGGAATACTTTGTCTCACCGGAAAATTAAGCGTTGTTTTTTCTTGAGCTACTTTGTTTAAAAACAGTCTGTATATGATTTAACATGCAAAAAAATCTTTAACATAAAAAGATCGTCCAAAGTCTCCTTTCCACAGGTTATTTTCAGATGTAGGTATCAAGTTTTAATTCCGGGAGTTAGCAAGATCTCTGCAGCTAAACAATGAATGGGAATACATGACATTCATTCATGATGATAGAACTTCCTCATATGTAGCGTTTACTCCCCAGGTAGGTAGGATGAAGCTGGCAGCCTAGTAATTATTCTAAAGAGTCATGCACTGATTACAAATACACTATGATATGAAAGTGGGAGGGGAACAAAATCTTATTGTGAATTGCCCATTAGAGATGTACACACACACACACACACACACACACACACACACACACAATCACACACAATGGCAGGGTAAGACTTTAAGTACAAGCTAAAAACAAACTATACAAAAATATTCCTATGCACGTCACATGGGCCAGATCATATGTGAGTCCAACCTTTTAAAATCTCAGCACCTAAAATGAGAGTGACAGCACCTGCTCAATCACCCGTCATTAAAACTCTTGCCACTGACTGCCCCCCCCCTGCCCGCCCATTGAACAGCACAGCGGTGAAGCTCTCTGCCCTGCAAGGCAGGTAGGTGGCCCTTGCTGGTGGCATTGGACTCCTTCCTGTGTTACTGGGCATAGTCTTACTCATTGGAAGTTTCACCCTTCGGTCTTCATTCTGCTGTATGAAATAACATGAATGTACATTTCTCTCTCTTCCACGAGAAACTTTTAAAGTTACTTTTCGTTGTGTTTTTCCTGAAGCCATGAAAATCATTCCTAAAAGGCAGTGGTGGAAGGGCGTGGTCTTAAGGCACATTAAAAATAGCTTCGATCTGAACTTCAGCTTTGTCGAAGGAGGATCATGGCGCTATTCCCTACTCTCCCTTCTGCGGGGCATTGTGGCCAGGAGCAAGTGAAAGTACTGGGTGGACGCTGTATCAGGATTAAAATGAAAATGCTGTATTTAAAGTTCATTAAAAGAGAAACTTACAACTCATGGACTCCTGGGAAACACAAAGAAGAACTTCGAACTGCTCCACTCAGGTGCTATTTCTGCCCTTAGGGAAGACCAATCGCTTGACCGTGCTTGTGTTTCCAACAGCCAGTTGGAAGTCTCCATTGTCTCCCATCCTCAGCGTGTTCCCTTTCTTCCCACTTTCCCTTTGCTCCTCAGGCTCTATTGAAAGTGAGCCAATTTTATTAAAATTCAATTTGCCAAAAGTGAATTTATAGAATGACCAATGCACTGTATTTACAAAATGTGATACTGGACACACAAAGGTATAGTTATGAACATTTTCTCATTATTTGTCTGGGTTTTCCAGCTTTTCTCTATTTGAGTTCAGTCTCCACTCTCTCACCAGAACGTTCTTTTTTAAAGAAAATACAGGTAGAATTTTTTCTCGCTTCCACATAGGAATGAATCACAATCTCTCAAGCACAGCAGGACGGGTGCTCTCAGCCTGGTCCAGCCTCTTTTACTGCTGTCACCTTCATTCTCCTGTTTCAGTGCTTCAGCCTATGCTGCTTTCCCACCCAGGATGACTTTTACCCCAGTCACCCTCCTCCTCCCATTCTAAGACCTCAAACTGACCCCTGGTGAATTCCTAATCACTCTCATTCTCAGGCCAGTGCCACTTCTTCTAGAGCCTCCTCTCCCAGCTACTCATCTTTGACCCCACGGCACTTTCTACGGCACTTCTCCCCTCGGCAGTCGCCTGTTAGTGCCTGTCACTTCCCAGTGGGCCATACGCGGTGTAGAGACACATGAACACATTATCCTGGTCCTGAATCCCAAGCCTCCCCACGGTGCTGCTGACAGTTATTAGATGCTCAGTAAATGCTGAACATTTCTCCTTTGAGTCTCAGAATTCTACACTGAAAACATGGGCATATCAGTATCTGCACAAGCTCAATTAGGGTAGGATTCCAAAAGCACTGTAGGAACTGTAAAGCTCTACGCACAAGTAAGATATGCTAAGTAAAGTCCTTTTTTTTTTTTTTTTTTTTTAAAAAGCAAAAGCAATCCTCTGTCAGGTAGCAGAGATAAAACAATTTCACCAGGAACGCAAAGAGCTGGTTGGGTTTTCAACTATCCACAGCAGAATGCGATCACAGGAGAAGGCAGCGACTCCTGATTTTTGAAAAATAAAAATTTTAAAATTTTATGTATTTAATTTTGAGGCAGTGTGCTTCTTTGCTCTTAGTTTGTGGGCCAGCAAGAACGGTGCTATATCCTCAATGAGAGAGAGAGAGAGACAGGAGAGCTAATTACCTCAACTTGCAGTTCTGAATAATTTGGCTTTGATATAACATTTGATAGACCATCCTTCTAGAGGCTCCTGGCTTGTATTCTCTCTATATGGTTCATCAAACAGACTAATATTTTGAAAAGAAACCATATTTATATACCTATAAGAAAACCCATAATCATAATGTTCAAAAAAATGTCAAATGCCATCTACAAATAAATAATGTCCAGGTATTTAAATTTAGGTCAGTTTGGGGAAATTCAGATTAGTATGGGGCAATTCCTAAATGCACCCAGTGCTCACAGCCAGAACTTGGACATGCAGCAGCTACACCACGGTGACATCATCCGATTGACGCCAGGATAGCGTCACTGTGGGAGAAGACCTCGTTCTGTGCAGTCTTAGAGGAGGAGTCATTAACACTGTGCTGTCCAACAAAGACAGACCTGGGCCTCACAGACAGGAGGAGGATGAAGCACTGTAAGGTGGACAATGGGGAAAAAAGCACTTTAGAAATAAAGAACTTTCTCTTCCAGTTCAGTATTATATTTCTCTTGGTAAAATAGAATGGAAAAAGACGTCCATCGTTAAGGGAGTTTTGTAATCTGTGAGATGTGCTCTAATTCTCTAACTCACTGTAGAGAAACCGCTTACACAATAAAAATGGCCCTAACTCTCGGCTTTCCACATAGACATACATACATATATGTGTTTATATATGTGCATATACATGTAAATATGTATATTTTCTGTTTAACACAGTCCATGTAGACACTCAGTTGAGAACGATAAAACCAAAACCATTATCAGAGAGTGACAGGCTCTTTCAACTTTCCTGAAATAAGAAGCAATGGTCTATGAAGAGAATAAGGAAATTCTAAGACAATCACTTTAAGCAGAATCAAAAGGGTCTCAGTATACAGGCAGCCTGTTCTAGCTGAGAAGGCTGGGAGCTTGTCTGTCCAGCAATATACGAAGTCCGAAGAATGGCAGGGAAATCCTTTCACTGGTGTATTGTAGGCACAGAGCTCCTCAGTGGCAGAAGGATAGAACAGAACAACACCCCACATTTCCTTGCAGATTCCGACTGTCATTCCCTAGGACCAAAACCGGAGAGCCCTGGGGTGCAGTGAGGGTGGCCATATGCCTTGGAGACTGGGGAGGAGCAGCCCAGGACCTGTGCCCTGTTCTTCATGGAGGACATGCTGTTCTGTGGGGCAAGCTGGGGGTGTGCATGTCCTTGTCAGGCTGGCCTTTAAAAATCCTTGGCAAAATCCACTCAATGCCACCAATGTTTATTTTCCCGGGAAAAGCATGCTAAATAAAATCCTATCCAGACTTGATGGGCTTCAAAACCCCACTGCCAAAAATTGAAATGTTTCTAAATTTGGAAATTAGCCAAAAGGCCATTCAATGAATTCTATTTTAGCAATAATTAGCAATACTTAAAACTCACTGATAAATAGCTTCTGGAGAAATTATACTTTTACAGGCAAAGTCTGGAGTCAAATGCACTGGAATACAATATTATCTACAGGGGGTGGTTTGGTTTTGTTGTCCTGATCAAAGAACCGTGAGAATGTTAGGATCTTTTTTTTTTTTTTTTGGTACCAGGGATCGAACTAGGAACCTTGCACTTGAGAGGTAGGCAGCAGAACCACTGTGCTCAATCCCCGGCCCCTGTGAGGATCTCTGAAAATATCTTGAGCAGTAGGAACCAGGTCAAATAATCACCCATCTCCCTTGAACTGTGAAGATTCTGGAGACCAAACGTGCACACACACACACACACACACACACGCACACGCATACAAACAATACATATACACATCTCTCCTCTGCTTTAGGAGACTCAGTTACAGCCAGAAATGTGAAAAGTGCAAAAACAGTTTGATTTTTAAAGTTGTCAGTATCTGGCTTGAGATGCTGAGTTTTTATTAATGTTTCATGTTCATCGTAAGTGATTTTCACCATGAATGCACCACACATTTACAACTCTGACCTGAAAATGCAGTGCATTGTCCTTCAAATCTAGTTTCGAGCCATACGCATCACACAAGCTGATCTGGGCTTGGTATTATCAACTGTGTAAGAGCCTGCAGCTGGCATGGAGGCAGCTGTCACAGGGTAGAAACTTCAGTGAATGAACACCCTTCTGGCGCACTGTGTGCGTGCTGTCCAATGGCGTCTCCCTGATAGTCCTAATTAGCCCTTCGACATTCAAGAAAACTCTGACTTAGGATCGGATTCTTCCCTCCTCAGTGGCGTCTTGGGACTATGAACGTTCTCTGTGCCATCAGTAGAGAGGAGTGACAACAGGCAGATGCAGCAAAGTGGAGCTGGGAAGCGGGAGGGAGGCTGGTTTCTGCATTCTGCTCGTGTGGCTTCCTTGAGACAGGGCCTTAGGTTTTTCTCACTTCTTTTTGTGTAGTCCATGGTTCGGGTGGCCTGGCTTGCTTCCTGCCCTCAGCTGCTTACAGGGAATAGCACCCAGCAGCTGGTGTTCCAGCAGCCACCACTTGTGGGGTCACTTGATACAGTCCTGGGAAAGCCTTTCCCCGGAGCATGCGGCCAGCCGGTGGGATTCTCTGTCCTGGGGCAGGGGGAAGCCTTAGAAGATGCTGACCTGGGAAGCAGCTGGATGGCAGTGCTGGAAAAGTGGCTCTTGCTCCACGTGCCAATTCACTCAAGGCCTCTGCAGAGGTCTGACTTGGGCAACAGCTTTGGGCCTAATCCTCAGCTGCTGCCCTCCTGGCCCACTGCTAGCCATGTTCTGAGAGGTTGGTGACCGGCAAGTGTGGCATGCAGGGCTCCTTAATGACTGACCAGGGGTGGCAACTACAGAAGCAGTCAATGTTCAACAGGCCGGTGTGTCTCACCCGGCCCCCAGAAGAGCTGCCTGTGACCTGCGCAAGAGGCATCTCAGCTCACAGACAAATACAACGGGCACGGGGAAAGGGTCGTGATGTGCTCAGAGGGAGACGCAGGGAGAGAAGTATTTCCAAACCTGGAATGCTCTTGTGGGCCCCATTAGATGATGTCACTGTTACGTGACTGAGGGGACCCAAAATCCAGGTAAGATGTTTTCTCCCTGCTTTGGGGGCAATTCAGGAAGACAGACATGAGGATGCTGTAGGCTGTGCTGTGCTTACCGGGATCCCTAGGGCTTTAAGAATGTTCATCTTGCACATGGGACAGGTACGATGGTCTAGAAGCCAGGGGTCAACACAGGACTTGTGGAAAAGATGCCTGCAATGAGAACCATACATCTTAGAGCCATGGTAACTCAGAGACTACCTAGTCCATGACAAGTCCAAGGTCGCTCGTTTGCTCGGTTCTGGGCCAAGACTCAAACCACCGAACTCCTGGGCCAAAGAGCTTCCACACACCCTGCGGTGACCACCCCAAATCTGTCTGCATCCCACCAGTGCCTTGTATGATTTGCAACCAACTCTTCAAAAATTCAGAAAATGTCTAGAAGTTAAAAACAAATTATTTTCCCTCTTTCTCAGTGGAAAGAGTATTTAATGGCAAGAAGGCAAGTGGGAAACTTGTGCAGGCCTTGCCCAATGAATTGATAGAGGCTGCTTTTAAGAAATACCCAACATTTTTCCCCCCATAATCAGAAGACTACTGTAAAGTAAAGGCTGATTTCCATTAATGTTTGGGATCTAACATAAAAGGGCAGGAGATATTCTGGAAGCATTCAGTAACACGTATGTCTTTTTAAACCGCTCCGGTTGGTGGCTGTCAAATCAGAAGCCAGGGCGGGTGGTTGAACACTGGGTAATGATCACTGCCTGGGCTTAAGGGCGTGGCCAGTCTCATGTGCTAGTTTTTATCAGCCTCTGGCAGGAGAAGCGGGCATAAAGATGACTTCTTAACTGAATTTTCTCTCAGGTTGACTCACAAAAGCCCATTCAGAGATACCAGGAGCCATGGGAGTGAGAAGCTTGGCTTCATACTCACAAGACTCTGGTCATGCGCAGAAACACTGAGAATTTCCTGTCTGTCTGGGAGAGGGAGAAGGAAAGAAAGAGAAAATTGCCTATGTTCTAGGAGGTTTTCTTAGAACATTCTGTTCATGCCTGGTTCTCCTCAATGGGGCGCTATTCTCAAATACTTCCACCCCTTTCTCTGCCACTTTCAACTTCTTTTGTTCTAACAGTTCTGCAAATCTCATCTGCTTTGTGTTAAGAGGGCTTTGAGCTCAAGTGCTCCCCAATCAGAGAAGAATTCAGACAGTTCCACCTTTTGTATGGAAATCCAGAAGAACTCAAGGGCTAAGGATGGGATTAGAAAGAGGAGAGAAGCAACTAGGACATGCTATTGTGTTTCCAGACTGTTGCTGAGGCCACCCTGCAGATTTAGAGCTTGGAAAGTATATGCCACATTCATTCCTTCCTTCCTTCATTCGTTCAACAAGAAGTATATGCCGAGAACTGTGCTCAGCATCTAGGATCAGCACTATAGTGGCCTCGTTCCTTCCCGTAGGGTCCCTAACAGGAGAGGCATGCATTGATAAAATGCGCACATACGTCACAGGGAAAACAGGTCAGAATACCACATTAGAAGAACAGGAATTTGGTGTCATGGCTTTTAACTGGGAGATTTATACAGTGTCAGGTGCTCAGAGACAGTTTCTCTGAGGGAGTGACAGAGTTGAGAATTAGGGGCTACTTGTATTTAAGGGCTAAGAATGGGAGGAGAGAACGTGAACAATATCCTAGGCAGAATGAGTGGTTCGTGCAAAAGCTGGGAGGTGGCCATTCCCATGGCAGCAGGGAAGGGCAAGAGCAGCTGGGTGAGTGGCACCCAAGTCACACTCCTTGCCCTCTAAAAGGCAACACTCATCTCCCCACATTCGGGCTCCACCCTCGACAAGTTCGTAACTAAAATTGCTCATGAAGTGGTGTTGCTCCTGGGAAAAAGTCAAACATTCTGGCCCCCAAGAGGCAGGCGACTCATGTGCTTTCAGCAAACACATGGCACTTGGCATGGTGGCGGGACCATTCCTTTGCTGTTTTAACACATAGAGAAGCCACTTAATGTCCTAACTCTGGGTCGCCTCTAGGCATCTCCTGAGGCTTCCATCCGCAGTAACTAAGGTCATTCTCCAAGACCCCATGCTTTTCCTGTGCTGTCATTCTTGCCACCCCTCTCTGATGGTTAGTTTTCGTGTGCCATCTTGGTGAGGCTATCTTACCCAATTGTTCAATGTGTTGCTATGAAGGTGTTAATCTATGTGTTGTTAATCTATGTGTTGCTATGAAGGTACTCTGTACATATGGATCATGCCTACAACCATTTGAAAGGCCTTCAGAACAAAGCTGAGGTTGTCCTGAGAAGTCTCTGCCTCTAGACAGGAGTATCTGCTCCTGCACAAGGGTCTGCAGCCTCTAGGCCTGCCCTGTAGACTTCAGACCTGCCGATCTGCACCCACGTCACCAATTCCTTGAAACATCTGTACATCTCTCCCTCCATCTCCCATGATTCTGTTTCTCTAGAGGACCCTGCCCGATACATCCTCCAATCAGCCTACAGCTCAACGACAGCAAAATCTCTTTGATTCACAGTTGCATCCTTATCATCTACAATAGTTCCTGGCACACAGTCGAAGCTCAGAAAACACTTGCTGCACGAGCGGATATTTGCTTATCTGAGGACCTAGCTCACATCCCATCCACGCATGCTCAGCTCCTCTCATTCCCTCACCCTTGCTAAGTCTCTGTGCCCTTCACCGCTTTTCTCAGCACAGCTCTCCTGTTCATCCTCTCATCATCTTCCTCTCTGTGTTGCTGCAGCCAAAGTGCTCTCCATGCTGCCAGGCCCTTCCTGTTCTCTTCATCCCACTCGCTGTCACCAGATTTATCTTCCAAAAATAGAGCACTAGTTACGTCAGTCCCTTGTTCCATTCTGTTCTATGTTAGGAGCCGGGTATAATGATGGATAAGGCCAGGTCTCTCCACAGGCGGTGTACCTCGGGCAGTACCACAGTCCTCCAGCAAGTCTTCGTTAGCAAAACGGGGAAATACCACTGAAAGCCCACACTCCTGGACCCACTGTGTTCAGGCTTTCAACCTTTGGCAAGTTAGCTTAGCTCTCAGACACGATTATTTTATCTTCTAGTATGGGGTTTGCACGTGAATGAGTCTGGGGGTGTCTACCATGTATGAGAGGGAGAGGAAAGTCGGGGAGAGGGAGGGCCCACAAAGTTTAAAATCTAGGTTCTGGCACTCCTTAACTATAAGCTACCATTAATCTTATTAATACCACAGTATTATATCTTAATTTTAGATATTATGTGGTTACTGTGATGCCTGCTTTTTAGTATGACATTTTTAATGTACAAAGAAAGCAGCCACAAAATTAAAAAAATAAAACCAAGAGTAAAAAAGAAAAAAGTGCTAGAATGACAGAGAAGATGTTCATAATTATTAGTAATCGATACTCATTTACTTCTAGTGCCATATGTATTATGCAAAATATCAAATATGATAACTACATTCTTATAATTGAGATTGCAAAGTAATTTTTCCTTCCTAAGTAGAAAGAAAAAAAAAATCACCAGATTAAAGCAATAGGGAAAGAATCTGGAGTTTAGAGAAATACAAGAACAATATAGTAAATATCTCTAAGGGGCAGTAAACCACAACTCACCTCACTTCTATGATTCATGGGACAGCACTGCCCCTTCCCATATTTTAACAAGCGCTGCACGAGAAAGGCCGACAGAGGAACAAGAGGACAGTCTACTCTGTCTCTGTTAACAATCCCAGCAAACTGAAAATCTAACAGAAGAACGATCAAAATTGTTTTTCTTCCTATTCACCAAAGGGAAGAAAACATTCTAGAAAGAGTTCTTCAAACACCTGACAAGGGAGAATGCAGATGACTGCTGGCAGTGTTGAGATAATTATGAAGCGTTAGTTTTCATACTTTTTTTTTTAGTGGTAATTACAAACCAAGTTAAAGTAATTTCCACATCTGTTGATTCTTGGTTTTTGTTGTTCTTTCACCTATGTGTGTGATTCTTTCAAGAATTAAATAATATTTCTTCCATCACCTGGAGAAGGAAGGGGGGCTATTCTGTCCTTGCCACCCCATTCAGTTTTATCGGCTTGTTCCACCCTACACCCTGTAATTCAGACTATGATCCTATGGGTTTGGGCACCAATGCAAGAATCCCATATTCTGTCCTATGCCAGTTATCTGAAAAGGACAGATACTCAGTGCTTCCACGGGTGGCTGAGGTATTTCTTAGTGCTTCTGAATCTTATCTGCAGTTATCAATGAAGTAATAGTGAGGTTTGAATGAATAAACACTAGGTCAGCATCCACCATTCACTGCTTGTCTGCTATGTACCAGACATCAACTGTTGTTTAAGGTGAAGATATAGAGGAGGAAACTGAAGCCCATTAGGGCTTATACAAAGAGCTGGGAAGGTGCCAGAGCTAGGGCCCAAACCCAGTCTAAACCCATCCAAAACTCACTGGTTTTACCCAATTCTAAATCCTCCCATCCCACCTCCCCAGTGGTCATGGGTAAGAGCAGTAGTTGGCGGTAGTCATCTTTTAATTATTTCCCAACGTATTGTATCTTCCTGCTTCAAGCATTTCCCATCCCTGAGCCTTAGTTTCTTCATATATTAGAACAATGAGGTAGCTGCACCTTACCTGAGGCAATCAGCTAGCCTCAGGTTGATGCACTGTTCCTCTAAAATGCCAGTTCTTTCTCTTTTAAGTAGGCAGGAAGATTAGCGGCTCTCCTGGTGGTAGCCATGGTCATGTGACTAATTGTGGCCAATAAGCTATAGAGTAATAACAAAGTTCACCTCAGTCTGTGGCACATAATCATTAACCTATCAATGTACAACGCTAAGATGGTGGCTGCTTTGTCAGTGTGATTGCTGTGAACTGACTCCTTCCACAACACAATGGACATAGAGGCTAGTATGGGATCTCTGCTGTGTTGGGCCAAATGAGAGGTAGAGTTTTTTTGTTACTGCAGCAGGGCTGGGCCTATCTTGACTAGTACAGTACCTTAAGGGGTGGTTGTCAGGATTGGATACTTGTTTGCAAAGTGATTATTTGGTAAGTGTTAAGTGGATAAGAGTGATATTAACTATTTAAAGTGATGAGGCTATAACTTGAAAATGACAAGTTATTAACTGATAAAAGTCAAATGTCACGGAACTGAGGGAAAAGAGCAGTTTGTGAGGAAATGAGATTATGGTGTATAGTAAGGG